AGGATGGTCTCGATCTCCTGACCTCGTGATCCGCCCGTCTCGGCCTCCCAAAGTGCTGGGATTACAGGCTTGAGCCACCGCGCCCGGCCAAAACAAGAATCATTCTTATGCCCTCTTTTAGTTTATCTCTTCCACAAAAACTGATGCTTAGTGTACTCCTGAGGGGATTAGGTACGCTCGAAAAATGACCATCTTATAATAGAAAACATAAAAGACCAGAAAAAAAGATTCATTTAAAATACATAATAATTAGTAAACTAGCAAACTGAGAAAATATCTCCTTTAAAAGAAAAAAATGATACTTCTTATAAGGCTGAGACATAAGGAAGGGGAAAAAAGGAAGAAAGGATAAATGAATGAATGAAAAATTGAGAGGCAGGGTACACTAAGAACTTAACTCACAGTCAAATGTTAGGGCCCCAAACTAACAGGCAGAATAGGAAGGTGAACAAAACCTCTTTCTGTCTGCTGGATTCTTGAGAGTTTAAAATCCAGGATTAAAATGGCTTTATTTCAACAGAATACATTTTGTCATCTCATTCTATCCGTGACATGGATAAGAATAAGTAACTTATGGCTGTGCTCTTAAGCGGTAACAAAGCCCTGAATATTGTGCCTCATTCACTTTGGGATGGCAAATCACTAATTGTTTACGTAGCAGGAAAAAAACATCTGCCTATAGCCTTTATTTTAAAATTTAAAATTTTATTTTTTTACTTTTTTACATTTTTATTTTAAAATAAATATAAACAGTATTTCTAAAAACATTGACTACAAGGAGGAAATGAGGCAATAAGGTTGGAAGACGGGAAGGACTCAAGAAGAGATGCTGAACCTGCAAACACAAGATCAGGGAGCATGCAGAGAAGCCCTTGCTGTGACACCGTCCTCTCACTGCTACTCATATGAAGCTCAGTGACTATGCTGGGACACTGGAGCTAAAGGGTCAAAGAGAAGCATTTCATTCCTAAAAGGTGATGTCAATTTGTACTCAACCCTGGCAATATGAGTTCCCCTCTTCACAATCCAATTCTAAGATTCTAGTTTTAAGAAATTACCAAAGATAGAGCCAAAGAGATATACACAAGAAACTTTATCACATCATCACTGATAATAAAAGTATCTGAAACAACCAAAATTTTCAACAGTATGGGGATGGATAAGGTAGAACCACTAGAAATCTATTTTCAAAGATTTTAAAACATAGGAAGTTACTCGTGATACCATGTTAATCAGAGGATAAAGTTAGGATACCAACCTGTATATATGTATGACCTTCAATTTTGTTTAAATATTATACACCTTATATGCACTTTTTAATACTGAAAGGAAATTCATAAACATATCAGCAAAGTTTAGCTCTGTTCCAGATGGAGAGAAGATGGCTAATTTTTATTCTTTGTTTAGACTCTTCTGTAATGAGCATTGTTACTTTCATATCAGAAAAATAGACATTTACCATAAAATAAGTCTACCCTCAAATCTCTCATTTACGATGACAATTGTCAGTCTTAGGAAAAGCCTGCTGAAGTTCAAAGCAGACTCAAAGAAAAAAGATTCAAATCTACACAGTAACTCTCTCCTGAAAAGGATGAGAAATCTTGTGTGACGGAGTCTGGCTTTTTCCTCTACTTTGCTGCTGGCTCTATTTTACTGCGCCTTACAGAAAGCTCCATGGGAAAACCCATTCCTTAGCACCTTAAATGACCTAAGTGTTTCTTACCTCTTAGCACAAGGATTAGAAGGAAAGAAAATGAAACCGCCCTACTCCCTTGTTTCAAAGGAAAAATTTTTCTTGCAAAGCTATCAAAATGACTTAAAATCAGGTATGCAAAATTTGAAACATAAGTCATGGGTTATGTTCAGTAACCAGTCGCTTTTTTTCGCAAGAATGAATATAAAAACAAATCTATGAGTGCCCTCTTGTGGCAACCCTGACTATTACCACAACCCAAGTACCAGCCTCTCCCCATCTATTTCCACAGCTCCACTCCTGGGCTCCGCATAACACAGCCAGGAGGCAGAGACCCCATAATAACCCACTAGAGTGAACGCACATTCCTCAAAGTGGCTGGTACTATTTGTTTTGAAGGATTTCTAGTTTAGATCCCAGAAATGCCTGCTTGAAGACAAATGGGAATGAAGGGTCAGAGGAGCAAGATGCAGGATGTGTATGTAAGTTCGTGGGCTGCCACTGATGGCCGATGGTGACTGTGTATGGTATATCCATGCACACATACCATGGCACTGCCAGGAGGCAGGGACCTGTAGGATAAATAGCCCCTTCCCTAGGAACACTTACCAGTTTTATAAAGCCGTGAAGTTTTACATTCACATCCAGTGAGCCTTGTGCTTACAAGTAGTTTTATTTATCAATTTTAAAGCAAACATCACCAGCTTGGGCACAATTCCAAAATAGAGCTCTTGTTGGATTCTGGTCATAAAATTCTTTTTTAAGCTTGTTAAGATCTTATAAAATAAGAAAGTTTTCCTAATACTTTAGAAAAAATACTAATCATTAATAAGTCAATTTTATACTCAAAGTGATGGCCTAACATTTTGAAAGATGAAACAACACTCCTCTTTTGAACATCTAATGTATTAAGTAACCTCAGTGTCCCAGGCTTCAGAGGAGACAGAGAAGTCCTCATATTGCAACCTGACCAGATGACTCTGGGAGTGAATTAAATGCTTAAAAGAGGTCAGTCTTGCAAATTCGATGAAGCACAGAATATAGGGAAATTGATACTGATTCGGATAAAAGATAACATTCCCCTCAGAAAGTGGTGAAGCTAAAAATCTTGCAGTTCTGGGGCAGGAGAAGTGCAACAAGCAGGCAACAAACAGCATGAAAGGAAAAGCTGAGTGAATTTCAAAGTTCTATTGGGAGATGGAGTTTGTGGTTCTTTCTGCCCCACCCTGGTCAAAGGCTCATTTCCAGAAAAGGATTTCTCCATAGGGTGGAAGCATGTGGCAGGAATTTGCTGTTTGGTCCTGAATGTGTAAAGGAAAGCCTTTTCAAGTATGTGAAGTAGACTGAAGTGACCCAGATGGGATGGATCTCAACTACATGAGTTACGGGAGAGCATGAAGCCAAATAAATGATAATGATGAGGTTGAACTGGGAAAATAAATTTGACTCCTTGCTCACTTCTCCAGCCTTTGGAAGAACTTTTTCTTCCCTCTTAACGGGACTGATATACTGGACAGCCCCTGTTAGAGATAAACTGAGGCACCAGACAAGGAAGAAATGCATTAAAAACATTTTTTGAAAGTCTTGACAAGTCACTTCTGGGAGAATTCTTCATTTTTCCTCTGCACAGGGACAGCAGAAGAGGGAGAGTAAAAATAAAGGCCAAGGCCTCTCTTGTCCACAAAAATAAGAGAGGATAAAAGACCCTGCCCGCTTAAAATCCAAAACCATAAACTCTCCTTCAAACAATATCTTTGCTCCAGCAGAAGCATCCTAGGATTAGTCTAGGTTAGTATTCTGATTCGTGTCACCCAGGTTTTGACAATTAATGATGTATTAAAATGGGAAGAGGCGACTCTTCAACCTTGGCTCCAGCTTCCCACCTGTCCTAACTGGGAGGAAAGCAGCTATCACGACAGCTGGATGGGAAGATCTTCCCCGAATTTCCGGAGCAGCTTCTGATGGTTGTGGTCCACTGACCACTGCTGGGGCAGGTGCTTGGGCTGCATGGAGTCCAGGAAGTGCTGACGCCAGCGGCTCTCCAGCTGCATGAGGGAGCGCAGCCCACCCTGGCTGTGATACTGCACCACCTTCAGCCCATGAGGAACATAGTTTTCATTGGAGATTCTGCCAAGACACGAAAAACAAAGGGTCTGAGGGAAACAAGCACAGGATGGCCTCACAGCTTCAAATGCTGCAGGCCAAGGGTAAATGGGGAGGTTGAAGGACTCCTAACGGGTTACTCTGGTGTTTTCCAAACATCCTCTTTCTTATCTCTGCCCTTTTTTATAGACTGAACATACAACTCACAATCCCAACAGAAGGTATTCCAGGGTTCTGAGCCCTACTGACAGGAAGGCCACTGCATAATGTTCAGCTCCCACGAGAGGGGCCCTACCATCCAGCTGATAATGGATGAAGAATGCTGGTCTTCCATTTCTTCCAGGATTACCCAGTGACCAGTTCACCCCTCTTTTAAGTTGTTCATTCTGGGACACAGTATTTATATGAGGCTGTTAAATTAGCCCACATGTTACACTTTTTCACAACACAATTTAATAACTGAATGTAAAATGCAAGGTAGCATATTTCTTTAGAGCCTTCTTTCTCACAAAAAGATGCCAAGCCACAGTGGTGAGAAGTGTTTTGGTCACAGTGAAATGCTACCATGGTTGCTCAGTTGTGCAAATGGTGCCATTAAATGAGATGAATCCCTCCCTCCTTCCTAAGCAGAGTCCTTCAAAACTGCTCCAATGCCATGTGAATGGTGCTTTCACCTCCTGTGAATAAAGATGGCCTTCCTCAAGGAAGTACCCTGCCCACACACACTCTTCTCTCCCTACATTCATACCTCACTTTCAATCCTCCCTCCCAAGACGCCCACCACCCCAGCAGTGTTGGCGTCTCTGGGTATCTGCAGACACTTTATTATTAATATTTAGCTCATGCGCTTCCCACTAACTTGTCTGTCTCCAAACAACTGTTCTTCTCAGTCACAAGTCCAGCATTCATCTATCCAATTCAGCAAGATGAATTTGTTAGAAAAGTCTGTGGCTGAAAGGGGAGGTTTAGCTGCTTTAGAAAACATTGGCGGCTGGGCATGGTGGCTCATGCCTGTAATCCCAGCACTTTGGGAGGCCAAGGTGGGAGGATCACTTGAGGCCAGAAGTTTGAGACCAGCCTGACCAACGAGGTGAAACCCTGCCTCTACTAAAACTACAAAAATTAGCCAGGTGTGGTGGCACACACCTGTAATCCCAGCTACTTGGGAGGTTGAGGCAGGAGAATCGCTGGAACCCAGGAAGTGGAGGTTGCAGTGAGCCGAGATTGTGCTACTGCACTCCAGCCTGGGCGGCAACAGAGTGAGACTGTCTCAAGAAAAAACAAAAGGAAAACAAAAGAAAACATATTTGGAAATGGGTCAAAGTAGTCAGTCTCTCTAATTTGTAATATATATGACCTTGGCAAGTTACTTAATTGTAATCTCAGGGTATCCAACAAAAAACTTACAAAACAACATCTATTCTACAACCTCACAAAATAGCTATGGGGATAAAATTTTATAATTCTTTTAAAACTTTGAAAGATTTTTAAAATTTAAGATATAATAGCAGTTAACCAGTAAGAAATCTAAATCCTGCTTTGTCGGGTTGTCATGAGAAACAATTAAGGAAATTTATGTGACGTTTATTAGCTGGTTTGCTGCAAGATTTAGTATATCTATAAATATCTGTTCAATAAATATTTGCAGTATCTGTAATGGATCAGTAGCATGAGTAAAACAAATTTTTGTTTTCTAAAAAAATTAAATATTTGCTTATAATTAGAGTTACTTTTTAATTTTTCAGTTAACAAAAACCCTATAGGCAACCAGCATCACTCTCAAGGTTTTGTGAACTTATCAGTTCCCTTATTTTTCAACTCCTAGTCCTGTTGGAAAAAGTGACAGTTGGGAGGCAGAACTGCACATGGTAGCCCAGAGTTCTTACCATCTGAGCCATGTGCCCATTCATTTCTCATTTCAGAACACTACATTGTGTCACATGAATTCAACTATGTACTCATGGAGAAGGAGGGAGAAAGCAAGGAAGGAAAAAAGAGGAAAGTAATTTACAGAGTAACAGCAATTCTGCTCAACATTCCATTCAGTGGGCCGATACCCTGGAGTGCAGGTGAGATAGGAACTATGAATTCATTAGTCACAGTTCTCACAGACCTGTATAAAGTCAGAGACACAAAACCACACATAGAATTGGCCCTCCATCTTTGTGGGTTCTGCATCTGTGGATTCAAACCTCAGATCAAAACGACTTAGGGCCACGCACAGTGGCTCATGCCTGTAATCCCAGTTCTTTGGGAGGCCAAGGCAGGTGGATTGCTTGAGGTCAGGAATCTGAGACCAGCCTGGGCAGCCTGGTGAAACCCTATCTCTACAAAAAATACAAAGATTAGCTGGGTATGGTGGTGCATGCTTGTAGTCCCAGCTACTTGGGAGGCTGAGGTGAGAGGATCACTTGAGCCTGGGAGGTGGAAGTTACAGTGAGCCAAGAGAGTGCTACTGCACTCCAGCCTGGGTGACAGAGCTATATACTATCTCAAAAAAAAAAAACAAAACAAAAAACACACACACACACACACAAAACTATTTGAAAAAAAAAAAAACTATCTGTACTATCTGTACTGAACACATACAGACTTTTTTCTCATTACTTCATAAACAATAAAATATAAAAACTATTTACATAGCATTTGCATTGTATTAGGTATTGTAAGTAATTTACAGGTGATTTAAAGTATACAGGAGGATGTGTGTAGGATATATGCAAATGCTATGCCATTGTATATCAGGCACTTAAGCATTAGTGGATTTTGGTATCCAAGGGAGGCCCTGGAACCAATCCTCCATGGATACTGAGGGGTGAATGTACTGTATCTCATGGGGAACTTCAGAACTTTGACGGTATTATTGGACTATTACTTCATCTCATGAGCTGGCATGAGGATTTACGTCTGCATAGAATGTGTAAGATGCAGCTCCACCACAACTGCACTCTCATGCTAATCACAGAAATGACTGAACTTAAGTGTATGATCTTAAAAAAGGTCAAAGATAGGGACCTCACAAAAAGCAAGTTTCCTATGGGAAGGAAATCCTCAAGTAGATTGTTCTATTCCACTTCTAAAGTATCTTAAACTACTAGACACCTACTAGGTGAAGCATGAGGCTAGGCACTGTGCCTAAGCAGCCAATGCCCCCTCCCTGGCAAGCATTCTCACTAAGTAATGAGGGTTAATGTCCCTGGTACATCCCGTACTCCCTTCTCTGACCAGATCTGTGCTTTGTACCTGGTCTCCAGGCTGGCAGCCTCTTGAAGCATCTCCTCTGTGACCGTGTCTGTGTTATAAAACTCTCTGAGTGCTTGCAGCAGCTCCTCCTTTCGATGAGCAGGCAGGCTCTCCGCGTTGAGTAGGGCCCTGGCCCCAGAACGCACCTGCCGACGCTCAGGATCTTCCAGCAGGCGCAAGCCCTCCTCAGAGCCAATGGGGGCCTGGAATTCCTTGGCCAGCTGCTGCTTCAGATGGTTGTCATAGTAGTTGGAAATGGCATGGCAGGAGGTGCAGAGCAGCAGCACATCGTGGGAGTTGTGGTCCTTCATCTCGATGGGGAAGTGCTTCCGGTACTCATGTGGAATCACGTTCTTCCTGGAACAAGCCCAGCCAGAAAGCAGCGCTCATGAGTGTATGACAGAGCACACGGGAAGACAGCAGACAGGCTACTGGGGTTCTAACTGGGGCCTAACCATGACTGGGAAGCCTTGGGCACCACCGCCCAACACAGATCACAGAAAGGCAGTATCACCTATTCCACTCTCAGCCCATCTATGTCTTAGCTTCCTCTCTCCTGCAAGTAAGTACAGACCACCTGCTGTGGGCTTCAATGGAGGGCCAGTGTAGCAAGAGGTTAATAACAACCTCTGAGAGGGCTGCGCTCCCAGAAGGGAAAGTCTCAGAGAACTGAAAAGATACTCTAATGGCCTTTTGACACCTGGACAACAACTCTCTCAAGAAGGCCTAGGAACCTGAAAAAGCCAATTTCCTTCATCTGAGAAGCAAATACCTTACTCTATTTCCCTGCTTCACCAGGGTCCATCATTATTTTCTAAGGAGAACTAAGCTCTCAGGAAAAACTCTTGGCAGCAATGACTTTGTCTCACTTCGCAGGGGAGAAAGGAGGAGAGTGAGTGACTCCACAGAAGCCAGGGAGAAAGCCCAAGTGTCTGGGCACTCAGGCGTAGTTGGCAGCCTCACTCTCACGGTGCAGGGACCCTGATGTGAAACAGTATTACAGCACAGGGCAGGCTTCAGGACATCTGGATACTCCACGAACAAAATCATGGCTCAAAAAGCTGGTGAGCCAGTCAAGAGAGGATGAGAAGGACACAGCTTCTGAAGGAACTGGTCTTCAGTCTTTCATGAGCAAAAGGGAACCACTTTCCACATGACAGACCATTACTGAGCATAGTGTTGCACTCCAGAAACTGAGAAATGGCTCAGGAGGGGTAAAGGCCACTATAGCAAGGGCAGCAGAATACCAAAGCTCTTGGGGAAGCTGGTTGCCAGGGACAAGCCTCTCAGCCAAAGTGGACAGACTCAGTCACAGCCCCCAAAGGCTCCGCATATGGCTACAAAAGCAATTTCCATCTGCCACAGAGAACCAGGGTGGCCCAATGCCACACTCACCGAATGTAGGAGTCTCTCTTGCCACACACTACACATAGGTTCTCTTTAACCATCAAGTAATAGTCTCCAGGAGATTCGGGCCTTCCTGCAGGTTCAAACCGTAGCTTCACCACAAAGGGCTCTTCACTCACCAGCTCTTAAGAGAAGAGACATCAGTGTTTGACTGTTCCCCCTGCCCCCACCACCACGCCCAAGAAGCAGCACTACCTTCACTGTTCTCTGCTATGGTCTGGCAGAGAACAAGATTTCTGGGTTGTGCCTACCCAGTCCCATGCAACTCAAGGTCTCTCTGCCTTCCTCCATCCCTCCCTCTTCCTTATCTCACTCCCCACTCCTGCCAGCATCCAAAGCACCTAATTAGAGATAAACAAGGACAGCTGAATCTCATACCACCAATGCCTTTGTCCAGGTACCACTGAGCTTTTCTTCTATCACAAGTGCAGAGGGGCTGTCCATCAGGAGCATGGAGAAAGCAGTTATCATAAAGAGGTGATTTTCTGTGGGGAAAGGAAAGAGAAATCTCAAACCGAAAGCTAACTGTGGGTCAAAATGTCTGTTGCTTTCCCATGCTCTCTTCTGAGTGACTCAAACTATTCTCAACACTAAGCACTAAGGTCAAACACACCACTATGGAAAAAACAAACAGAGTGATAAACCATGTTTAATCCTCACCTGCATTGGGCTAGGAAACAGAACTAAAAATGAATTAGTTTATGCCTCTAGTTTTTAAACTTAAGGATTAGGACATTAGGGAGTGTGTCGGGTGGTTTACACGCAGCTCTTCTGTGAATGCAAAAAAGAATCAAGCAACAAGAAAACTGCCAAATCACTGGGTGAAAACAAAGTAAATTAAAAATTTTAAAGTTGAAGCCAAAGTAATGAGGGCCATGTGGATTTACTTCTAACTCACATGCAATAACACTTCCTTCAATTTAATCATCCAATTAATTCCTTAAGGCATTTTGCTACAGGGACCAAATTTATGCTCCAAAGTACTTATTAGTCATCTTCCTACAATAGAGGAGTAAGTTATACAGGAAATTTTTCATTGGCTAGAGAGTAACATTTTCTTGGAGCTGGATGTCATTCTAAATAATTAATTAACATACGAACAAGAAATCAGATGATGCATGTCTCCTGAAAAGTATGAGGCACTACGTGTTATTTATTTTCGTAGCTAGCCTGAAACAAGGAAGGAATGATAATTATACCCCCATTTACAGTTGGAGAAGTTAAGGCCTAAGGTCACATCAGGGTCAATGACAGAACTAAGCTAAGCTTTCCTCATTTCCACTCCAACTGTCAAAAAATAAAAAAGTAAAAGAGGGGAAAAGGAGAAAAATACATAAATAAAGCAAAGGAGAGTCCAAACGTCTCTGATGGAAAGAAAAAGCAAGATTAACCCCTGGAGAGCTGCTGCTCCCCTACTACAAGCCTTCTCCCCAGACCCAAGGGAAGCACCACACCCTTTGCTAAGGCTGGGACTGACTCTTTACTAGACAGGGAGTGACTCAGTTACCTGGCAGAATAGCCCACCCCTAGGGGCTTTCTTTTATGTTTTCTGGGGTCTCTCCCTTGGTGGTTGCCTGGCACCATCCCATCCATCTTAGACTTCTTATGTTTTGGCTTCTGCTGAGATTCTGTTGCTTCCCCATTAACCTCTTCTCCCAATCTGCTCATTCCTTTGCTTCGAAATGGGATGTCGACCACACCCTGGCATTTTTCCAAGACTTTTCTCCAGCTACTGTGGTCGTTTTTTTCTCCAGGTGAATTCCTAGAGAAAGGGTATCCAAGAAGATGAAGAAAGAGAGCCACTGAAATCTGGGCATCCCTGGCAGCATAAATTACCTGAAGAGAAAAGTCAGAGATCAGTGGAATCTGGAAGGCAAACCAGAGAGAGCAACTTCAAAGTCAATCACAAAGAAATAGATAGCTCTTAGGATGCTAATTCAAAATGTACGACAACCTGGGCACCATATACTTCCTTAAAACTTTTTATTATAAAAATTTTCAAACTATACAGAAGTAAATTGAATAGCATGATTAACTCTCATGTTCCCTATGTTTTTCACTAAAATAGCTAAAATAATGACTTACTCTAAATGCTGGAAAATCCTCACCTATATAAATCAGTGAAGTTTCTATCTGCTACCAAATTGCTGGACAGATTTCTCTCAACTTTAGGGGAAGGGTAGTTAACAAAGGCCTGATAACTAGTACATGAAATTCACTTTGGAGGCAGTCATCCTCTGGAATAGCTAAAATCATGATTCATTAAGAGGTCTGTGTGACTGTCAATCAGAAATGACCTGCCATATCCATTAATAAGATATTGAAAACAAATAGGTTTCAAACATGGGCCTCAAATCAAAGTCACAGGGCCCATTCTTGGAATTTATTTATTTAATAGTAGTAAGTCATTCTCCTAAGCAACTGATGATACACAAGCCGGTCATAAAGAAAAGTACTGTGGGCCAGGCACAGTGGCTCACACCTTTAATCCCAGCACTTTGGGAGGCCAAAGCGAGTGAATCACCTGAGGTCAGGAGTTCAAAACCAGCCTGGCCAACATGGTGAAACCCTGTCTCTACTAAAAATACAAAAAATTAGCTGGGTGTGGTGGCGGACACCTGTAATCCCAGCTACTCGGGAGGCTAAGTGAGGCAGGAGAATCGCTTGAACCCAGGAGGTGAAGGTTGCAGTGAGCTGAGACCGCGCCACTGCACTCCAGCCTGGGAGACAGAGCAAGACTCCATCTCAAAAAAAAAAAAAAAAAAAAAGGGAAAAGTACTGTGGTCAAAACTAAAATTCAGCTGGGCGCGGTGGCTCATGCCTGTAATCCCAACACTTTAGGAAGCTGAGGCGGGCGGATCACTTGAGGTCAGGAATTCGAGACCAGCACAGCCAACATGGGGAAACACCATCTCTACTAAAAATACAAAAAATTAGCTGGGCGCGGTGGCACGCACCTGTCATCCCATCTACTCGGAAGGCTGAGGTAGGAGAATCGCTTGAACCTGGGGCTTGAACCCGGGAGGCAGAGGTTGCAGTGAGCTGAGATCGCAGCACTGCACTCCAGCCTGAGTGACAGAGTGAGACTCCATCTCAAAAAAAAATAAATAAATAAAATAAAAATTTTAAAAACTAAAATTAACAGGTTTTCCCAACAAGTATAAGGACTTTAAAATTCTATTACTTCACCTTTAATAACCAAGCCAGTGAATAATTCTATTAGTAAGGATCATTTATACTTTTAGAATAAAACAAGTGTGGATAACATTTTCCACCTGGATCCAACAATCTACATATCTATTAGCAGACTGTTTCCCACAGAAGAATGTGTACTTGAATGCAAAGACTTCAGAGTTCTCTTTAACACATTATTTTCTAATGATAAAGAAACAAATGGTACTAGAATGACTGGAGGTCCACATGAGAAAGAGTGAATGTGGACCCCTATCTCACAAGACACACAAAAATTAACTCAAAATGGATCACAGACTTAAATGCAACAGCTAAAACTATATGACTTTTAGAAGAAAACATAGGAGCCAATCGTCATGACCTTGGATGAGGCAATGATTTATTGACTGTGACACCAAAAGCATAAGCAATTAAAAGAAGAGATTTTTAAAAAGAAACTGATAACTGGAGCTCATCAAAATTAAAAACTATTGTGCTTCAAACAAATAATGGAAGAAAATACTTTATAGATCATCTATCGGAAAAGGATCTAGAATATCCAAAGAATTCCTAAAACTCAAAAATAAAATAACAAATGACCCGATTAAAACATGGGCAAAGGATATGTATGAATACACATTTCTCCACGGAGGATATACAAATGGCCAATACGCACATGAACAGACACCCAGCATCATTATTCACGAGGGAAATGTAAATCAAAACCACAATGAAATACCACTTCATACCTACTAGGATGGCTCTAATGGAAAAGACTGACAATAACAAATGTCAGGAAGGATGTAGAACACCGGCACCCTCATACACTGCTGGTGGGAATACAAAATGGTATAGCTACTTTGGAAACCAGTTAACATTTCTCAAGGATGAACAAGTGGTAACTGACCCAGCAAACAAGGTTGAAACTAGGCCTATGCAAGTGGTATGGCAAAAAGCCTAAGTTCTAATGGGTTTAAGCCACAGAACCAGGAAAGCATGAGGAATGGAGACACCAGGTATCTGTGAAGGCAAGGGTGAAAACAGAAGGGTAAGGTGAAATCTCCACAGAGAACACTTACACCCCGCTCTCCTCCTTTACAGCACAGGGCCAGACAACTATCCCTCCCCTAGCCCAAAAGACAGTAAAAGTTTAAATCATATAATGGTTAAACCACAGAGGATCTGGACCTGGTAATACCACGCACAACTGAAGGGAGGGACGAAATGTCACCTGAAGAAAGGGGGATTAAGGGAGAGATTACACATTGAATGTTAAGACCACTGGCGCCTTTCCCCCACTCAGTGACTGGAATATAGGTAGTGGGGCTTACGCTTCTTGAATAGAATACTAGAAGATTCATCTCTGGAGAAACTAAGTCACCTGAGAGAAAAGACAGTTACTGACATTTTTTTTTTTACTTCTCATGCTCCCTTTCTCAAGAAGCTGTTATGAATGTATTCCGCCAAAGTAAGAAAGGAAAAAGACATGGAATTTAAAAAACAGAGGATCTACTATGAAAGAGAGAGGTGAAGGGAATTCCAGGCTGATGGTAAATGCAAATTCCAGGATGAGAGTTGGGCAGCAGGCCTAGGGTGCAGTCCGTCCTGGGAGGAGCCAGATGAGAGAGGGCTCTAGGAGAGAAGGCTCCAAGGGAAAATGAAACAAGTAAGTGACCTGATGTGTGTCTGAACCAGCCCAGAGGAGATCCATAGTTCTGGTAAGGAGTCTGGGGTGGAAACAATAGGTACATGGACACTATGCAAACAAAATACTAATTATTAATCCTGGGAAATAAAAGTAACTGCAGTTTACTATGTGACTCAGCTATAAATAATACAAATACTGGATATTAACCTGATAAAAATGATGATTTGCCTAAATTGGGAGGATGGGGAAGAGAAGTATTTGTCTAGGGGCAGGGGAGCTGCAAGAGTACTAAACCATATCTTCCATAGTATGAAGTCAAAAGATAATATATATAGATAAGGAAGAATAACGCATGCATGTAATTTAGAAGTATAATGATAATTACCAGAAAGAAATGAAAGTGGTTGCCTCTGAGGAGAAGAAGGAAGAAGGATTAGGAATGGGGAAAGGTAATACAGGGAACTATTTACTGCTTCTTAAAATAAGTTATAACTCCTACACACTTATAACACTGTTTTTTTTAAATTATGCATTTGTATTCATAAAAAAAAAAATCCCTTTTTCTGAAATGCCCAACATATAGTAAAAGGTCAAAAAAATCAGGACTCTTGACCGGGTGCAGTGGCTCACACCTGGAGGCTGAGGTGGGCGGATCATTTGAGGTCAGGAGTTTGAGACCAGCCTGACCAACGTGGTGAAACCCCATCTCTACTAAAAATACAAACAAAATTAGCCGGGCATGGTGGTGCACGTCTGTAATCTCTGAGGCAGGAGAATTGCTTTAACCCAGGAGGCAGAGGTTGCAGTGAGCCAAGATCGTACCACTGTACTCCAGCTTGGGTAACAGAGTGAGACTCCACCTCAAAAATGAAACAACAGCAGACTCTTATCTTTTATTTAAGTGATTATTTTATTGTAGACCAGTTAACTGGATTATCACCAGAGAATGAATCCATTTTAAGGCATCTCTATCCAATACTTATACTATATTTGAGAATTTTAATTTTGTTTTTTTTTTTTTTGAGATGGAGTTGCGCTCTGTGGCCCAGCCTGGAGGGCAGTGGCGCGATCTCTGCGGACTGCAAGCTCCGCCTCCTGGGTTTACTTACGCCATTCTGCTGCCTCAGCCTTCCAAGTAGCTGGGACTAAAGGCACCCGCCACCACGCCTGGCTAATTTTTTGTATTTTTAGTAGAGACAGGGTTTCACCGTGTTAGCCAGGATGGTCTCGATCTCCTGACCTCGTGATCTGCCTGCCTCGGCCTCCCAAAGTGCTGGGATTACAGGTGTGAGTCACCGCGCCCGGCTGCGCTTGGCCGAGAATTTTAATTTTATAAACAGTTATACTTCAGAAACAATGACCTTCCATTCTTCAACTACTCTGATAAGAAGTACCTGGTCCTCTGTAAGAGTCTCAGCATCCCAGTTGCTGCAACGAAGTAGAAGGGACTTGTCAAGGGGAAAGTTCAAAACAGTCTCAGCGAGGGATTTCAGGCTAAGCCCATTACAGAGCAAATTGTTTCTAAAAGAAAGAAAGAATAAAACCATGCATCAAAAATGGGCAAAGGACATGAACAAGAAAATCAAAAGAGACATATAAATAGCCAATAAACAGAGATAACATACTCAATCTCACTAGACATCAAAGAAAATGGTAATTTATCTACTTGTGAAACACTTTATAAATCCTTTCTGTAGTTTAACTCATTTAATACTCACACCAACCCCGAGAGGTGGCTACATTATCATCTCTACTTTACAGATGAGGAAACTGAGGAACAGAGAGGCTTAGTACTGTGCCAAAGGTCATACAGGTGGCAAGTGGCAGCCCTGAGACTCCTACCCATGCAGTCTGCTCCCAAGTCAGCTTTTAGCCTCTATCCACACTGCCTCTAACAGCACACAGTGACAGTGGCACCTCTGGGGAGCTGCTGCCAAAGAAAGGAGGGCCTGATGAAGGGAGGCTTTTACTGTTATACTCCATAGACTTTCACAGTTTTAATTTTTACAGCAATATCTTAATGTATTACTTTAAAAAATTATACTTCACTTATAAGAGCTTTATATAAGCCAAACTAACAAACTAAAATAAAATTTCATTTTATACTAAAAAATTATGGTAAGCACAGATTTTAATCAGGCCTTCTCTTAGTTTACCAAATCTCCAATCTTTTAGTGACTCTGTCACTTCAGGCAGGGCAACAGGCTGTTTCAGTCCACGATGTTATAAATGAGGACCCGTGCATAAACATGAGGAGGTAATTATGACCCCCCGCCCCAAAAAGACAAGCTGAAATCAAATTTCCATAGGAATAAAATTCTAAAGGAAATCTCTCTTCCTCCCAGATAAGGGCCGGTCTACCATCATTTTCGGCCTAAAGCAGGGTCTGTAAACGCAAACGCTTATCAGGAGGAGCCAGGGTAACAATGGAAGTGGTGGGGACTCTGGCAAACTGAACAGAGCATGCTCATCTAAAGGGCACATATGCTACCCAGCCAAATGCTGCCATCTAGAACTGTAGACTCAGTGTAGTCAGATTACCTAATTTTTCAAGAGAAGCCAGAAATACAGATTTTTACATTAAATCTTCTTGATTTAAATAAAAAGTTCCAAAAATATCATACGGGAAAAAAAGAAAACCAAAAACCCTTTGCAGCCATAATTTAGCCAATGGGACCACCAGCTTTTAGCCTGTAGCTGTGAGATACCTCAGTAATGTTTGATCTAAAAAGACTAATTCTAGGTAACCAGAGTTTCACAGAAGTTGGAATGTCTTCTCACAAATTCCATATGCATCTTAGAAGCCTGTAGGCTCCTAGACAATTTCACATGTTTCACTACTGATTCCCAGGCATCTACAAATCTGGCTAAAATATTTGTCCCACAGCTACAGGAATCCCAGCATTCATACAAACCACACCTCTGCCGCATGGCTAGGTATCGGAGGTCCAGGCACCCCCTAACAACAAGGCCATAATCCTGCAGAAGCTTGCTGGCATCTTCTGAGCATCCCACTCCAACTTTCAAAATGGTGCCATCTGCCAAAATATTCAGTAATGTTCTCGGTAGTGTTTTTCCTCCACAGATTAGCTTAGGCAGGCGAATCAAGACACAGAGGCCACTTGGGGAGGCCATTTGTAGAAGTGACAGAGGGCTGGCTTTGCCTTCCAAATTTACCTGCAACAGAGGAAGACAGGGTTGTGGTTCACACCTGAGCACAGCAGCAAGCACAACATATAACTGTGACAAAAAAGTCTAAGAGGTACATCCTTAAATTCCCAAAGGGAGCACCTGACCAGGTTTTCGTTTGCATCTACGCATAAGCCTACAGTAACGAATGCAATGGACTTTGTGAAGCAGCAGCCTAAACAAAGGTTACCGAGAACCCCAAACACCAAGGCCTGAAATACGAGTGGTCCATAAACAGTGACCATCCGACACAGGGGAGCTCTGGGACATACACTGGCAGTCATATGGAACATGCTGGTTTTACAAGGCTAAGGAGGCCGGGCATGGTGGCTCATACCTGTAATCCCAGGTATTTTTGGTAGAGTTGTAACCCCAACTCTACCAAAAATACAAAAATTAGCTGGGCATGGTGGCACATGCCTATAATCCCAGCTACATGGGAAGCTGAGGCAGGAGAATCACTTGAACCCAGGAGGCAGAGGTTGCAGTGAGCCGAGATTGCGCCACTGCACTCCAGCCTGGGAGACAAGAGTGAAACTCCATCTCAAAAAAAAAAAAAAAAAAACAGCTAAGGAAAAAAGGCTAAGCAGTAAAGTGTGAAATGATAAACATCCTCTTTTCATTATCCAGCCTCTCTAATGTACACGCAGGTAACTCTAGTCATTTGCCTTATCATCACTGACTCAAGATCCAATTTTTAAAAAGAGGTAGGAGATAAGTGGTACTTGATAATATAATAAATACCAGTAGCACAAAGTGCTTTCTCAGCATTTTCTAGTCACAAATGGCGTTCATAAAAAGAAAAAAATATATATATATTGAGCATAAGTTAGGGCCTTTAAATCTTAAAAGATACAAAAAGCTTTATACAATAAGTGATCAAGGTTTAATCTTTTTTCGAGACAGAGTCTGGGTCTGTCGCCCAGGCTTGAGTGCAGCAGCTCAATCTTGGCTCACTGCAACCTCCGCCTCCCGGGTTCAAGCAATTCTCCTGCCTCGGCCTCCCAAGTAGCTGGGATTACAGACATGCACAGCCACGCCCGGCTAATTTTTGTATTTTTTGTAGAGATGAAGTTTCACCATGTTGTCCTGGTCTCGAACTCCTGACCTCAAGTGATCCTTCTGCCTCGGCCTTCCAAAGTGCTGGGAATTCTCCTGCCTCAGCCTCCTGAGTAGCTGGGATTACAGGCATGCACAGCCATACTCAGCTAATTTTTGTATTTTTTGTAGAGATGAAGTTTCACCATGTTGCCCTGGTCTCGAACTCCTGACCTCAAGTGATCCTTCTGCCTCAGCCTTCCAAAGTGCTGGGATTACAGGCATGAGCCATTGTACCTGGCTGAGGCTTAATATTTTTGGGGTCATAGAACGTTTTGAAAAAATGCTGAAAGTTAAGGATGTTATTCCTAGAAAAACGTATACACAAAACTCACATACATTTTCAAGGGATTAAAGTTTCCCTAAAGCTATCCACAGAACCCAGATTAAGTACCCAATAAATTCCAATCCTTCTCACTTGTCAGGAGAGGAATATAGGTGAATTAGTTTGACCAAATATGGTGAGATCATGGCAAAGCTAGGACTATCACACTATCACCTAAAGTTCCCAGTCCCTAGAATAGTAGTTCTCAACTGAGGGTAATTTTGTACCCCAAGAGACATTTGGCAATATCTGGAAAAATGTTTGGTTGCCACAAGTGGGGAGGAAGTACATAGGCATCTAGTAAGCAGAGGCCAGAAGGCTGCTAAACATCCTACATGTACAAAATAGTCCCTTAAAACAAAGAATCATCTGCCCAATATGTCAATAGCGAGGAGGCTGAGAAACTGCTCTAGGGCAATGTGGTCCTCTCCCTACTGTGCTAGCTGCCTGCTGGGCCTGCAGTGCCACAGTTGCATACAAAGTAATGGAAGACAGCATGCTAATTTAAAGAAATTATAATCTTATAGGAAGAGCAGGATGGATACACATAAACACAAGCTCACACACACAGAAAATGACATGGTAAATGCCAAAGGAATGTTTCAAGCAAAGTGTCACAATTAATCAGAGGAGGGACATTGCATAGTTGAAGTGACCAAAATCACACAGAGGAAATAGTCAAGATCACGAAAGAACTGCTGTTAAAAAAAAAAATTGGGGAGGGCTCTGGCCCTCAACTTTTTTTCCAAGTCTTGCTCTGTTGCCCAGGCTGGAGTACAGTAGCACAATCTCAGCTAACTGCAACCTCTGCCTCCCGGGTTCAAGTGATTCTCCTGCCTCAGCCTCACGAGTAGCTGGGATTATAGGCACCTGCCATCACACCTGGCTAATTTTTGTACTTTTAGTAGAGACAGGGTTTCACCATATTGGCCAGGCTGGTCTCAAACTCCTGACCTCAAATGATCCACCCACCTCAGCCTCCCAAAGTGCTGGGATGACAGGCGTGAGATACCTCTAGCCCTCAACTTCTTTTCTAAGGTGGAGTAAAACCATGATCTAACCACAAAAGACTTAGGCTTCCTTCTTAGGCCTGCTTTGTCAATGAGGGCTATTTCCATATCCTCACACGAAAGCATGCCAGTTTGATCTCATTGTCTATTTCTTGGGGCTCCGCCAAGGTTAAAAACACCTATAAAAAACTCGACTACTGGGGTTCCTGTTCTCTAATAATTCATCTGGATGTGACCAAATCACCTTTTTAAAAATTAATGAGTAGTTCCTTCCCTCTGTGATACCAGCTTTCTCCAAGAAAAAGCTATAAATCTCTACTTCTAATAGCTAGTACTGCTAATTTGACATAAAACTCACTACAAATTTCTAAGGTTGGATATTTGTACCTCTTTACAGTCACGCCTCATTGTCTACTATACATTGATTTCCTTGCTAATATAGTGGTGAGTAAAAAGAAAAGAAAAAGATAAAATACATTAAATAACTAGATAAATAGATAGATAGGTAAATTGAGTTGTCTTTAATGTTTCTGGATTGTGCTTAAGATCCAATATACTATAATCAAAGTTTTCTCACTAGGAATCCAAATGTTTATGATTCCTCTAGCTACATAACTTATATTGAATATATAATTGGAAGAATAATGGTTCTAGGACAGTCAATTTAGCTTAAAGAATAAGATACCTAGTCTTTATTTCTCATATTTCCCCCCTTTTGCTTTCTAATATCTTTTTGCCCTGACATCACTACTCATGGAAAACAAGAAACCCTGGCTTATCAACATCATTAAAAACACGTTTTTATTCATTAGACACGTTTTAATTTCATTAGCATTATTTAATCCAGTGGTCTTATTAGCATTATTTAATCTAGGGTTTTTAAAATTAGTCAACATATATAAAAGTTTGAGACATATACTACATATTTATAAATTACACACATATATTATTGCATTAATGTGTTATAGATACACAAAACACAAAGTTTAACTGAGTAATACCAACAATCATTACAGATAGAATTTGTAACACTCTGCTGTTTTAGTGATTCATTTAGCGAACACTGGGTTAGAGTCCTCCTTCCAGAAGCCAGGGGATAATCCATTTTGGCTTCAGTATTCTTAAAAGAAAAAAACCAACAAAACGAAACAGCATTCTTAAAAAATAGTTTCTGGAATGGCCTGTGATTCTTCAAATGACTTCACAAAGGCAGCAAAGAATGACATGGGACCATCTTCTGGGCTGGAATAGGTTAATTAATGAGCACCCCTAGTTTGTGGAGTTTATGTATCAGTTAAATTTAGGCCAGGGTTTTGAGATAGGAATGAGTTTACCCTGTTCAGGCAACAGAACTAAGGCCCAGTGTGGCTAGATGCTGGTAAGAGTAGGATGGGAAGAGAGTAGGAGGAGACAAAATCAGAGATGCTGAAAGAAGCTACAGCAAGTAAGACCTTAAGAGCATGTAGGTAATTGAGACATTTGCGTTTTATTCTTTTTTTTTCTGAGACGGAGTCTCACTCTGTTGCCAGGCTGGAGTGCTGTGGTGTGATCTCAGCTCACTGCCACCTCCGCCTCCCGGGTTCAAGCGATTCTCCTGCCTCAGCCTCCCGAGTAGCTGAGACTTCAGGTGCCTGCTACCACGCCCAGGTAATTTTTGTATTTTTAGTACATATGGGGTTTCACCATGTTGGCCAGGATGGTCTCGATCTGTTGACCTCGTGATCTACTCGCCTTGGCCTCCCAACGTGCTGAGATAACAGGCGTGAGCCACTGCACCTGGCCATCTGCATTTCACTCTAAGCAATTGAAAGATTTTGGGCAGAGGACTGACACAATCTGATCTGCATTTTTGTTAGTTACTGTACAGAGAAAGGATTGCTACATGTGCAAGAGTCAAAGCGGGAGGCTGGTCAGGGGAAGATTTGCAATAGTCCAGGTGAGAGATACTTGAAGCTTAGACTCAGGAGGTAGTAGGGATGTGATATAGTTTGGATCTGTGTCCCCACCCAAATCTCATGTTGAATTCTAATCCCCAATGTTGGAGGTAGAGCCTGGTGGGAGATGACTGGATCATGAGATGGAGTTCTTATAAATGCTTTAGCACCCTTCCCCGTTGGTACTGCATACTGAGTAAGTTCTCAAGATAATGGTTGTTTAAAAATGTGTGGTGGCTGGGTGTGGTGGCTCATGCCTATAATCCCAGCACTTTGGGAGGCCAAGATTGGCGGATCGCTTAAGTCCAGGAGTTTGATACCAGCCTGGACCACATGGGGATGGGTATGGTGGTGTGCGCCTGTAGTCCCAGCTACTCCAGAGGCCGAGGTGGGAGGATCACTTGAGGCTGGGAGGTGGAGAGTGCAGTAAGCCAAGATCACGCCACTGCACTCCAACCTGGGTGACAGAGTGAGACCCTGTCCCCCCCCCCAAAAAAAAAAAGAACAAGAAAACACTTTTCATTGCTAAAACTGGCCCCTCCTTGTCATTATTTTCAGTGTGATCTGAAAAAAAAAAGAAAAAAAGAAAAGTGTGTGGCACCTCCCCGCCATCTTGGTCCT